CTCGTTGGGCACGTTCCTCAGTCTCTCGTTGGGCACGCTCCTCAGCCTCTCGTTGGGCACGCTCCTCAGCCTCTCGTTGGGCACGCTCCTCAGCCTCTCGTTGAGCACGCTCCTCAGCCTCTCGTTGAGCACGCTTCTCAGCCTCTCGTTGAGCACACTGCTCAGCCTCTTGCCATGCTCGTTCCTCAGCCTCTCGTTGGGCACGTTCCTCAGTCTCTCGTTGGGCACGCTCCTCAGCCTCTCGTTGGGCACGCTCCTCAGCCTCTCGTTGGGCACGCTCCTCAGCCTCTCGTTGGGCACGCTCCTCAGCCTCTCGTTGAGCACGCTTCTCAGCCTCTCGTTGAGCACGCTTCTCAGCCTCTCGTTGAGCACGCTTCTCAGCCTCTCGTTGAGCACACTGCTCAGCCTCTTGCCATGCTCGTTCCTCAGCCTCTCGTTGGGCACGTTCCTCAGTCTCTCGTTGGGCACGCTCCTCAGCCTCTCGTTGGGCACGCTCCTCAGCCTCTCGTTGGGCACGCTCCTCAGCCTCTCGTTGGGCACGCTCCTCAGCCTCTCGTTGAGCACGCTTCTCAGCCTCTCGTTGAGCACGCTTCTCAGCCTCTCGTTGAGCACGCTTCTCAGCCTCTCGTTGAGCACGCTTCTCAGCCTCTCGTTGAGCACACTGCTCAGCCTCTTGCCATGCTCGTTCCTCAGCCTCTCGTTGGGCACGCTCCTCAGCCTCTCGTTGGGCACGCTTCTCAGCCTCTCGTTGAGCACGCTTCTCAGCCTCTCGTTGGGCACGTTCCTCAGACTCTCGTTGAGCACGCTCCTCAGCCTCTCGTTGGGCACGCTCCTCAGCCTCTCGTTGAGCACGCTTCTCAGCCTCTCGTTGAGCACGCTTCTCAGCCTCTCGTTGGGCACGCTCCTCAGCCTCTCGTTGGGCACGCTCCTCAGCCTCTCGTTGGGCACGTTCCTCAGACTCTCGTTGAGCACGCTCCTCAGCCTCTCGTTGGGCACGCTCCTCAGCCTCTCGTTGAGCACGCTTCTCAGCCTCTCGTTGAGCACGCTTCTCAGCCTCTCGTTGAGCACGCTTCTCAGCCTCTCGTTGGGCACGCTCCTCAGCCTCTCGTTGGGCACGCTCCTCAGCCTCTCGTTGGGCACGCTCCTCAGCCTCTCGTTGAGCACGTTCCTCAGCCTCTCGTTGGGCACGTTCCTCAGCCTCTCGTTGGGCACGCTCCTCAGCCTCTCGTTGGGCACGCTCCTCAGCCTCTCGTTGGGCACGCTCCTCAGCCTCTCGTTGGGCACGCTCCTCAGCCTCTCGTTGAGCACGCTTCTCAGCCTCTCGTTGAGCACGCTTCTCAGCCTCTCGTTGAGCACGCTTCTCAGCCTCTCGTTGAGCACGTTCCTCAGACTCTCGTTGAGCACGCTCCTCAGCCTCTCGTTGGGCACGCTCCTCAGCCTCTCGTTGAGCACGTTCCTCAGCCTCTCGTTGGGCACGCTTCTCAGCCTCTCGTTGAGCACGCTTCTCAGCCTCTTGCCATGCTCGTTCCTCAGTCTCTCGTTGGGCACGCTTCTCAGCCTCTCGTTGAGCACGCTTCTCAGCCTCTCGTTGAGCACGCTTCTCAGCCTCTTGCCATGCTCGTTCCTCAGCCTCTCGTTGAGCACGTTCCTCAGCCTCTCGTTGAGCACGCTCCTCAGCCTCTCGTTGAGCACGCTCCTCAGCCTCTCGTTGAGCACGCTCCTCAGCCTCTCGTTGAGCACGCTCCTCAGCCTCTCGTTGAGCACGCTTCTCAGCCTCTCGTTGAGCACGTTCCTCAGCCTCTCGTTGAGCACGCTCCTCAGCCTCTCGTTGGGCACGCTCCTCAGCCTCTCGTTGAGCACGTTCCTCAGCCTCTCGTTGGGTACGCTTCTCAGCCTCTCGTTGAGCACGCTTCTCAGCCTCTTGCCATGCTCGTTCCTCAGTCTCTCGTTGGGCACGCTTCTCAGCCTCTCGTTGAGCACGCTTCTCAGCCTCTCGTTGAGCACGCTTCTCAGCCTCTCGTTGAGCACGCTCCTCAGCCTCTCGTTGAGCACGCTCCTCAGCCTCTCGTTGAGCACGCTTCTCAGCCTCTCGTTGGGCACGCTCCTCAGCCTCTCGTTGGGCACGCTCCTCAGCCTCTTGCCATGCTCGTTCCTCAGCCTCTCGTTGGGCACGCTTCTCAGCCTCTCGTTGAGCACGCTTCTCAGCCTCTCGTTGAGCACGTTCCTCAGCCTCTCGTTGGGCACGTTCCTCAGCCTCTCGTTGGGCACGCTTCTCAGCCTCTCGTTGGGCACGTTCCTCAGCCTCTCGTTGAGCACGCTTCTCAGCCTCTTGCCATGCTCGTTCTTCGGCCTCTCGTTGGGCACGTTCCTCAGCCTCTCGCCGTGCTCGTTCCTCGGCCTCTTGCCATGCTCGTTCCTTAGCCTCTCGCCGGGCACGCTTCTCAGCCTCCCGCCGTGCACGCTCCTCGGCCTCACTTTGTGAGCTTTTTCCATTTTCTTCTTGCGTGCTTTCGCCGTATTTTACTGTAGATGAGGGTTCAATCCCGAAAGCAAGCGATATATTTTGAGGGCTCGAATAATGAGTTGTTTGCTCGTTGTTGACCCGCTCTTGCTGTTTTGCTCGCAATCTACGTTCTATTTCTGCTTTAATGGCATCCTCCTCCTTTTTTTCAATCTGGTCGTCAATGGGAAAAATTTCAAAGGGTGGAGGCAAGGCGGCCCTTGTCCCGTTTGGGTCCGCCCTGCCCCCCTTCGCCCTCTCAACCTCCCGCTCCATCTCCATCAGAAGCGATTTCTCGATGCTGTTGGTCGAGTCCATCGTATTTTGTTTTGTCTTTCGCCAGGCTCGCCCCTCCCGCCTGATGGTCCTAAAATACCAATCAATAAAAATCTAAACTCTCGTAAACTACAGAGAAAGGCGGGCCAAAAAATAAATAAATAAATAAATTGAGTGACGGTCGGCCTGGAAAACATTAAGCGAGTCACGGGACAAGCAGGGAGAACAAAAAGAAAAACCAAAAACAACGCACATAAAAACAGAGACAACAAACCAAAACAAAAGAAAAGAAAACTCAAAACAACAAGAAAAAAAAGGAACGCCAAGAGCTCCTGAGGGAATTCGCCCGCACGCTCCTCATCAACATCTCATAATTTCTCCCTCTCCGCTGATAACCATCAAAAACGACAGCTGTTTTTTTTTTTTCTTTCGTCTTTTTTCATTTTTTTTTTTCGTTTTCTTCCCCTCTCTTCTTTGATATGGGAAGACTTTGGCTACTCCACATTTGGCTTCTCCTCCACAACAATAATGCCTTCAATGACGGCCGCAACTGCCTGATGCTTCCCGGACGCAATCTCAACCTTGTCTGTGGCACTTAACAGAACGGGGGTGCTGTGTGTCTGGAATCCCGTGATTGCCTTTGGCTTTCCGGCTACTGCTACCGTGTCCACAGGGAGCCCCACGCGTACCTGCACAGCATCCTTGAGAACATTCATCTGTGCATCGACCGCAAGCACCATACGGGGACTGATGCTTGGAGTAAGGGTGAGCAACATATAATGGTACTTGCCCAGAATAGTCTTGTCGCAATACAGTGCGCTGTGTAGGAAGCCAAGAAGTCCCGTTAATGCCGTCGGTGATACCAAAGTCCGGTCGTTGAGAAGCGGGGAAAGCGTCAGGTGGCCTTTCCCCATCATTGTTAGACCCTGTGCAAGACGAACGGAAAAGTGTTGAAGCGCAAAGCGTTCTTTGTGATAGTAAGAAGCCAAGTTACGTAGTTTACTCGCGACTCGGGCGTTGTTGCTTCCAGCAGAAACAATTCCCAAGGCGAGGATGGCGTTGATTGCCGTAGGCGCATCGCTGTCATGAGAAAGGCGATTCAGTGTCTCCACCACAGGCATACTCGGGTTGGAGGCAGAGAGAAGGGCGTACGCCAGGGGGATTGCGTGTCTGCCAGAAAGGTTTGACCCGCCTTTGCTCACTGTGTCCACAAGCAGGGCATGAATGACGGACCGTTTGGCCATCTCCACCCCAATGTCTTCCCCAAGAGCTACCAGTCCGATGCCAAGAACAGCGGCCGCCTTGTGATT